TACAAACCCGTCATCATGCTATGTTAGCGGGGAACACATTAATTTTTTTAGATGTGTCCTACTAGTAAATTATAGATAATATATATGATTCAGAATAGCGAAAGTTTGGTACACGTTAATTTTTATATCGTATGTTTAGTGAATTTTTTTATATTTAGATAATGAATTAACTAGATTTTGGTGCATGATACTATGCTCTGACCTCAAATCATTGGCGAACCTCAATTCATAATTCACTAAACCCAAGCCATAAGATTAATTTAATAATAACAATTAATTAATTATTCTATTTTTTTAAAATATATCGAAGTACATATGATGGGTGCGAACGTATGGATATATTATACGCTATATATATAAGTCAAACTGCTATATTTCTCGGGTATACGATACTCCGAGTGCTATATTTTTACTTAGACCATGAATTAAAATGTGTTTAAGGTATAATACTACAACCTAAATTATAATGCATACCCCATGCAGGATTCCATAAACTCAAACCCGAAGATCAAGTTAATAGAAAATAAAATTGATAATTATGATTCGCTGAAGTACAACAAAGTATATCTATCAGTAAGATCATTTGGAGTATGGTATACTTCAGAAGTATCTCAGTTGTTATCAAATACATGTAAGAGTATTTGATATGTTGCTCGTTCTCTAATCACGTTATGTTGATCGTTACAACTTACAAGTGTCAATTCTCGTCCCTAATTTTGTTCCAACCGGCCAACTTACTAAATAAGGCTATTTTTCCAATGTCTACAATGGCAGACCCGAGATTCTTGATCAGAGGTGTCGGGTGAGGAAAATAAATTAATAAATAAAATTATACATTAATTCATAAATGCATAATTTTATTGTTTTAATAGTGATTCATGATGACTTTTCATATTTTGAAAGGTTTGTAAACTGAGTTTGTTCCTCATGTTGCGAATCATACATTTTAATATACACAACTAAGTAATCATTCATAAATGGATCATTCAACCGATTTTGAAATTTTTTCTTGATTAACTGTATATCTGAAAATGCTGTTCGGAACTTACAGTTGCAACAAGTAAATCAACACTAAGTTCATATGGGAAATTTGAATGAGAAGTGTTCAGGGTGGCCGCAGCAGGTGTGAACGTTAGAGTTTTATGAGAGTGGGGCCACTGACAACTGGAGTGTAAAGCGGACTGTTAGCGTGTGATATGAGATTCATTATGAGACCTCTCCCAACAACTCAAGTTATTGGGATCAACTGGTTCTTGACAAGATATACGAGCCTTCTACGACCAAGAGGTCCTGTGTTCGAATCCCGATGACCTCCATTTGTGAAGCACATGATATTCTTGTATTGAGACCTGTGCAAATGAAGCCCGTATGAGTTGACTCCCTTTTATTTGAGGGGCATGTTAGTGTGTAGACTATAATTATTGGAAATGTGTCGAAGATCCCAAATTACAGTTCTTACAAAAGTCAAACTTGTAGAATGTTTGACATGGTTTCAACGTCTAAAGTAGAAAAAGACTTATAAAAAATGCGGCCAAACACAGACTTAGTAGTGATAAAAATAGTGAGTTGTTGTGTGATGTATGAGTTTGAGCCAATTCTAACTAATTAATATGTTGGGGGTAAAAGAATTGCCTTCACACATATAAAAGGATTATTACATTTTCTTATAAAGATTTAATTATTACTTAAGCTGTTGTAAGGTAGGGATGACAACAGGTCGGGTTGGGACGGAGCGGATAGTGCATATGTGTTACTAGGGGTGTCATTTCGGTTTCCGGTTAGCGGCTAACCGGCCGGTCTAACCGGTAACCGCCGGTTAGCGGCTAACCGAAAACCGAAGGAAAGCAGTCTCGGTCGGTTGTCGGGAATTGGTTCTGGGCGGGCGGTTAGCCGAGTAACCGAAGCCGGTTAACCGGCTAACCGGCTCTAACCGACCGAGCTATACGACGTCGTTTTGGCAAGTGAGAAACGACCCTAACCCTAGTCACTTGCGTCAATCGTGGACAGCCGCCAGACCCATCCCTCTCGTTTTCCTTCCTCCTCCTCATCCTCTCGTTACTGGCGAATTCCTCGGAGACCAGACCAGAGTCGCCATCGTCGTCGGCCAGAGCACAGCCGCCGCCAGCACGCCATCGCCGGCCGCGCCTCCAGTCGCCGCGCCAGTCTTCCGCGTTCCGCCACCCTCTAATCGCCGCCAGTCACCAATCGCCGCCAGCCCGCCACCCTCCAATCGCCGCCAGTCACGATTCGCCAGTCGCCACCCTCCAATCGCGCAGCCAGTCACCAATCGCCGCCGCCAGTTACCAATCCGTCGCCGCCAGCCCGCCACCACCCTCCAATCTCCGCCACCCGCCAGAGTCCAGAACAGCAGGGTTTCCAAGACCAAAACAAGAAAAAAAATTCCAGAACAGCAGGGTTTCCTTGCAAATCTCTACCTGCCATGGTCGGTTTTCGGTCGGTTTTCACAGCAGACCGAACCATCCCCTTCTATTTCGGTTGCGCAGGTTTAACCGTGAATTAACCGAAACCGCCCGGTCGGTTTTACGGATAACCGATGCACAGGGTCGGTCGGTGGACGGTAAGGGCTGGTCTGGTCTCGGTTTAACCGAAAACCGAGAAATCGGTTTTCGGTTAAACCGAAACCGACCGGTTGACAGCCCTATGTGTTACCCTACTCAAAATAGTTCGGGTTTTACCTATACCCATATCCACATAAGAACCAGGTAGAAAATCAAAATCATGCACATACTCGTTCGGGTTGCGGGTGTCCACGGTTATCCATCGGTTATAATTTCTCTTTATAACTCCAACCAACATGTTAACATTCACACGCATACTCACATTATACAAGTGGAAAAGTATTACAATAATTCAATAGAATGAAAAAAATTAATTTAAACAACATAATTTAATGAAATAGTATATTTGTATGCTAAATATAAAATACATTGATAAAAGTGATGATAATTTCTAAAAAAATATATATGCATGTGCATAATTATTAATTAGGCGGATTCGGGTTGGATAGTGTGAAAATCGTGCCCACCCATTACCCTCTATGTTTGGGTTCAAATTTTACTCGTAACTACTAAAAATTCTTCAGGTTTGGATTTTACTCTATCCAACTAGATCGGATTCGGGCGGATATCCACGATTACGAATATTTTTGTCATTCCTACTACAACACACAAATTAATGAATTTTTAAAAATACTAGAATCACAGAATTTCTCATTTTTTGAGGATACATCCATGTACATAAACTTATTGATCCAACTAAAATTTTAGGCCTAATACCAGAAAAGGGCCCATAGTTTGGAGTTTGGGTCATTTGTACCTCTATGTTTATCCCGCGTCACTTTTGTCTCCAAGATTATAGTCCGTTAACCAGCTCCGTTAGTTTTTGACGGTCAACTGTTGACCGATGACGTGTCAACCAAAAAAATGATTAGTTTCCATGTCATTACAGAAAACGTGATTTTTTTGTAAATTATAATTACCGGAAAAAATTAAAAGCAAATTAAAGTAAAAACGAAGTAAAAAGGGGGGCCTGGCTTTACTCGATCCCAAATCTCTCCTTCCCTTCTCCTTCGAAAAGCTCCCAACCCCAACGAACAACGACTCCTTCATCGTCGATCTAGGAACGGAGGAGCGTGGATTCGGCGGCCGGTCGTCGTCGGGACAGCGTCGTAGACTTCAATCATCAGCGGCGGACTGTCGAACCAATCCACCTTCGACTTTAACGACGATGACTCCTGACGTCGACGACCTTCCTACATCAACACCGACGACGATTGAGGAGTTGGCGCCACTTTCATTGTGAAGCAGCAATCGATTGGGTCTCGGTGCTGGTTTTCCCCCAATTCTCTCAACCTTCGACACTCTATCTTAACTTCCCCCAACTTCTAGTGTTAACTGTTTTCGCAAAAATTGGTAGGGAACAGAGGGAAATGGAGAATGGGGAAGGTGGTTGTGGTATTTGAAGTTTGTACTAAAGAGGTTGTTGGAGAGGGACCACGAATTGGGTTGTGAAGACGAACCTGCCCTTGTAGCTGAGCAAAATTGGGTATGTACGTCATTCTTTCAATTGCTTTATCGTAATTTTGGAACATTTGGTTGTTTGTTTATAGTATATCTCCAACTTGTGATTAAACAGCTCTTGAGAATGCATGCTTCGATTAGAAAAATTCATTATCTAACCATCTATTCTCAACTTGTTGGAACCGGGCAGGATGACAAATGATACTATCGACCTTATCATCCATCATGGTGGTCACATGGATTATTTGGAGGGCAACCCGCGTTACCTCAATGGGAAGTGTGAAGAAGTTAGCATTGATAGGGACTGCATATCATATTTTGAGCTCGAATCGGTGGCCACTCATTACTTCCACTATGCAAGAGTCGAGAGAATGTGGTATATGTCACCTTCATCAACCATTGAAGCGGGTCTGTATGAGGTAAAGTCGAACAATGATGTCATGGATGGATTGCTGCCAGCAATTGTGAATGGGCAGATTGTAATATTCTTCGAATGCACTGAAGATTTGGCTGTTGTGGACGACAATGAGGCTGCTGCTTGGGGTTCTGGGGACGAACATGAATATGATGGTGAGGGTTATGTGAACCGCGATATTATTCATTTGATGGATGACGACTGTCGAACATCAGATGATGAATTTGTTGAAGCCATGGAGAATCTAGGCATCCATCAACGGAGGAGGAAAGTTCGTACTAATGAATGTGATTCGGGAGAAGAGGTTGAGAAATTAAACCAGTTTGAAGATGGTGTTAACTTGGAAGCTCTTAAACCCACTACTATAAGCACATACGAAACAAACGACAACCTAGTTCCCACCACCTTCAGCTCACGAGATAACCTAACATTTTCCTCCTTAAGCTCAGCTAAATCATGGCATGAGCGATGCTTTGCCTTCTTCCTTTGCTCGCCCTTATCTTCGGCAGCTGTCAATCTCATTTTAAGTGAAGAAATCTGCTTCTTCAGATCATTGTTCTCTGCCGAAAGTGCTTGAACAATATCCTCTTCTCAACCAGGACAATACTGATCCACCCACACAAAGTATTTGCAATCCACCGTTTCTTCCTTCCAAAATGGGCAACGATAAAATTCTCTCCCCGGATTCCTCCCACTTCCAGAGACAAAAACAACAGCTGGACAGTTATGAACGCACCGAGGCACATGAGAACTAGCACAGCTCGATTCGCTTAAACTCTTCCCTTTTTTCCTTGCATTCATTGCGATAAACTTGGATTCTTAAACCCTCCAATCTGGTACCCAGTCCACCGCGTCAGTCTACCCTTCGATTCGTCGCTCTTGCCTTCGATCCGCAACCCCGGCGTCGTCTTCGCTGCCCCCGATTCCGCCAAATCGCGCCGTCTCCGCTCCCCCCGGCTTCGTCTTCGTTGCCCCCGATTCCGCCAAATCGCGCCGTCTCCGCTATCTGCTCCCCCAACCCGCTCTTGTCTTTGGTCACCGCCGCATCTCTTCGTGCTCTGCTCGTGGAAAGAGACAAGATGAGGAAGATAAAGATAGAAGGAATATAAGTGGTGGGTGAAAATGTGGGTGAATTTTTTTCATTTAATAAAAAAAAAATCTGACATGTCGGTGACATGGCAGCCACGTGGGGCACAAAGTCAATAATAGGTTGACCACTGTTAGGTTGACCGTCAAGTCTAACAGTCAACGAAACAGGTAGGACAAATTTAACATGCAGACTATAATATCGGGGACAAAAGTGACGCGGGATAAACATAAGGATACAAATTACCCGAACTCCAAACTATGAGCCCTTTTCTGATATTAGGCCAAAATTTTACTGAACCTATATCCCAAACAAAAGCCAAGGAACCAACACATCCCGGTATTTAGTTGTGGCATTATTTGACATTTTTGCTTTTGCGATAAGAACCAAATATATGGTCACATCTTGATCATTAAAAATAAAAAGAGCTAATGTATATAGTTTTTTTTACAGATAGCTTGAATTACCAAGCAATCGAAAGATACAGAGTTTAACCACCTTATCAAAGTCAATGCATAAAAATCAAAACAAACCAAATCCATTATGTGTAGCGTAAGGACTTTACGCATCACAAAATCGACTTCTTACACCAATGATCTCTCTACTAGTATATCTTGTTCATTTTGCATAAATAAATTTTAATGTACAGTTTTATCTATGGATAGCTTGAATTACCAAGCAATCAATAGATACAGAGTTTAACCACCTCATTAAAGTTGTCCATGCACAAAAATCAAAACGAAACCAAACCCATTATGTGTAACATAAGGACTTTGCCTGTCACAAAAACCAGCTCTGCTATTTGAATTACGATGAATAAACTAAACCTAGAATTACTGGTATACTTCAACGGACCCATAATCTATGCTATTATCACTCGACCTAGCTTGATGAGCCCATTATATCTCTATGTTAGTCATCTTCTTAAGTTGCTATATATTTCAAAGTAGTCTACACGTACGTGTAACGAATTTCGAAATATCATATAATTGAACTTCAGTATGTCACAACATCATCAAACAGTCCTACGTATAACAAATATGAACTCGATCCACATAAATTACTATGAATTCCATAGGAGGGAAGGAAACAAGTGAAAAGGCCGAGAACAATAAAAAAAGACTGGTGAAAGAGCAAGATCGTACTGTGGGAAAAACTCTTGAAGACATGAAATAGAATAGAGCATCTATGTATCTCCCTTGTTATAATTGAACTGAGAACACATAGCTAGAGGACATAGCTATCGTCGTTAATGTCTATATAATATATTAATAAAAAATGGAATATAAAACAAAGCAGTAATATCTCTTTTTTATTTCACTATATTTAAATTATTCCTTTTTCCACTTGTATTTGCTAACATTAATTAATTTAGTACAATAGAGATGCTGACTTCTTTTGGCCTCCTTTTCCTATAATATAACGACAAACTAGCCTTCCTCATTTTTATAATCAGATTTTCTATTTTATGTTATATTATTTATTTTGTATAGTTGTAATTACTTTATTGTGGATCTGGATGTTTATTTCCAGGTCAAGACCATTCACCGACTGTATATATGTACCTTTAAAATTATTTACACAAATACTCCACTAATACATGGCAAATACTCCACTTTATTATATAAAAAGATAAATAATGAATCTACAATTATTTAACTGATTAATTGAAAAAGAAAGAGAAAACAAACCAGGTAGGAGATGAGGAGAGTGAGGGAGAACAAGTTGTCAACCCTGTTTAGTCCATTGGCCCATTGAGAAAGTAGTCGGGTTGAAAGTTACCTGTCCGGGATAGTTTTAGTTTGGATACATAAAAGAAATTATTATATTGATCATATATTTGTAAACTACATCAAATCTCAATATTCAATGTACTTCGATCCAACATATGGGTACTAACCAATACCATATAACATTACACCAACATAACAGTTCGTACTTCGATCCAACCTATAGTGAAAATTCAAACAAACTCATTTAACATGAAAAACAATATCGTGCGACCTCCAAACTGCAAACCTTTGCTGCTTGTCAACTCGCAAGTGTATGTCGTTCGTTTTCCTCACCAAGTCAGAGTCATTCTTGGTCAGGTCGACCCCTGAGTTGATAGACTTGATCAGGAAAGAACGTTGAAATGACAATGACATGAATATATGGAAGAAAACAAAGGGTGATTTTGACAATGCGTTGTTTTTATGTGAAAGTCAAAGAAAACCAGGGTCCAATCTTGCTATGTCTACCCGTTCCCACCCGCTCCTCTAACCCAAAGAAAACCAGAGAAAATTAGTAGCAAAAGCTCATCATCATCATCATCATCATCATCATTAATTCTCTGGTTTGTGTGTTTTGTCTCCCTCCCACCCTCCTCAATCCATCTTTTCTTTCTTTCCTTCCCTCCGACAACAGAAAGAAACAAGGACAGGCAGAGAGACAGACATACACATATGTCGAACCTTTCAGGTGAAGAAGGCAGCTTCTCCTCCGGCAACACCGCCAATAGCAACGCTACTTCTGGCCTCTGGGCAGCCGCCGGCTGAGAAGAAGCCCAATTTGCCAGGCACCGCAGGCAAGCCTCAATCTCCCTCTCTGGCTTTTTTCTACATATATAGTACCCATATCTACATAGCTGTAAATAAAAGATTCAGCATGATAATTGATATGCATCTTGTCAAGAATTAGTTGATTATCTCAATAACTCGAGTTGTTGAGAGAGTTTCGATAATAAATCTTATTTCACACACTAAAATATAGTTCTAATCGAAACTCGAATCCTCTATCTGAAACTCAGCTCAATTTATTATTTCCTTTCTTCACCGTGGTGATAAAGCTAGAGAGAGATTAATGATATGGTTAGTCATTATAAAAAAAAAAAGTTTAGGGAGTATCTAAAGATATAAGATTTATGGTTCAATCTCCCTCAATTACACTAGTTACGAACTCGATGAATTGTTTTTTTTTTCCAGATGATGTAACAATCTTTCACAGTTTAAGAGGTCTCATACTTAATCCTTATAATATGCAAAATTGATAGTTGATATTTGAAACACAAAATACGAGTGGCCTGTACAAATTTTAAGCACTTCATTTGTCTTTCCTTTTGAGAAGGCATGTAAGGAAAGATATACATAAACTAATCTTGGCTAACCTCGACTGAAGTTATTGGGAAGCTCAACGATCTTGTACCTTTTTTTTTTTTTTTATGTCAATGAGATGATGAACTTTACGTTATTGTGAGCTATATGTATATTGATTACCGAAACATGCAGATCCTAGTGCAGATGTGGTGGTGTTGTCGCCGGAAACAAACCAATTTGTGTGCGAGATATGTAACAAAGTGTTCCAACGAGACCAGAACCTACAGATCAGGGGCGGAGCTAGGATCTAGTGGTAGGGGGGCCGGACTTTATTGTATAATATTCGTAAAAAAAATTAAGAAAATATTTACATTGTGAGTCATAAGCTTCAAAATTTAATTATCTAGACTCCAAAATTTAATTATCTAAATTAGAAAAATATTATAAGCTCCAAAATTTCATTATCCAGTTTGAACTTTGAAATTAAAAAGTATTTGAATAAGTACAAAAGTTAAGTGATCAATCTAAATTTTAAACAAAAATTCAACCAAAGTAGGAAAACTAAAAAAACAATGTTGTTGACAGGGATTGAACCATGGTACTGGGTATTCACAAATACCAACTAGCTGCATTCCGTTAGACTAGACCCAAACATTATTGCTCATTATTGCACGTTATTGTTATTCTACAATAGTTAACTTCTTCAGAATTTTCAAAATTCCCAATATTTTTACATGCGATCTCCAAAATTCTCGGGGGTGCCGGGGCCCCCCGAGGCACAAGGTAGCTCCGCCCCTGCTACAGATGCACATGAGAGGTCATAAGTTCATAACCTGCCATGGAAGTTGCGGTAAAGAACCACCACTGAGGTCAGGAAGCGGGTCTATATCTTCATTTGCTTTAGTTTCAATTCTGCTTTATCGTCTATTTCTTTTATCTTCTTTTTCCGAATCCACATATAACTGCTGGTTTTGAGTAGTCAATCGTTAGAAATCCGAATGAATACGATTTGAATACCCTTCGAGTATTCCGTGAATTGATGTTACGCTATAACATGATCAATGATAAAAACAATTCTAGAGTTATACTAAAACGCACCTTCTGTGATTTATCAAGAAAATGCAAGCGATTATGACACTAAAGATGTAAAAATGATGTAACTCTACCCATAATACAGGGGTAAAAAGTAGTATTTTCTATGTATCATCAATGGGTCTTGGGGTATGTGTGTTGATTTTCGAGCCATCATTAACACCCCATCCCTAGACTTGATGATATGCTTGATGTGTTGTGTTCTAGTATATTCTTGAATATTTATTTGAAATATGGATACCATCAAATTAGAATGAAGGTAATGATTGGAAGACGGCTTTCAAAACAAAATATGGTATTTGTCAGAGGTTGGTAATGCCATTTTGTTTAACTAATTCTCCGAGTACTTTCATGAAACTGATGAACCATGCTTTGCATGCTTACTTTGGAACGTTAATGGTTGTTTCATTGGATGACATTCTTATATTCCCAAAAATTAGAGGACAATATTAACCACCTTAAAAAAATTTATAGAATGTTAGAGGTGAGAAAG